CGTGGGAAAAAAGTGAGTACTTTTTTCCCGGATATATATTACATATACATACTCTGTTAATGGCTTTTGTTGTGCTATAGTTCCGAAAAATGAGTCAATAATACCGTCTCCGAGAAAGAACTGCAAGTCTTTTTATCTTCCGTTCGACTTCGCGGTTTCGTATATTACTAAACAACTAATGAATTCGCAATCTTTTAAAATCAAATCACAGAATTGAACTGACAGAAGTGACATCAGATATTTGATTACTTCAAAAGAATGATAAAGATTTCTATAAAACGCAGGTGTCCCTACTGTTGAAAACTTGAAATTTCACGTCGATAATTTTCAGATTTCGAAATAATGTAATATCTTCTCAATATTGATTCGTCCTTCCTTCTGTCACAGAAAAAAATAGTGTATTATACACGGGAAAAATATTAGATTTTAGCTCACGGTTTTTTGTCTCCCTCCGCTACGCGTCGGGAGACAACACAACCTGGAGCTAAAATCTTCTACTTTTTTCCCTTGTAGGTATGATAAATAACTATTGTTCTCCTAGTATTTTTCAGGTAGTGAAAATCAACATAATATAGTGCTCAATTGATTAAGAGGACCACTAGAATTCAGATGGATTTTTTGCGGTGTACATGAATTTGTAACATAAAGACCAATAAATATCTTATCATATCTTATCTTACCCCAGTCAACATTTCGAAACAGTTTCGTGATTTTCTAAATAAGTCAATTCCTGGGGACGGAAGGAGGACGTTTGCATTATTGAGTACTTCACATGATATATTGAAGACACGGTAATTTCCAGACATTCCTGACTTGGTATGAAATTTAAAATCCTCTATAGTGCACATTTCCTTCAACAGTTGGGAAAGGTGCCTGTGAAAATACGATTGAAAGCAAGTAATTACATTTTAATCATTCCAACACTCGATATAACATCTAACATCTAATAATCTACTATTTTTCTGCAATTATTGTGCAACATTTTTCTCTTGAATTGACGTCTCTATTACTGACACAAACATAGGTATGTTGCTATACACTTTTAGTTCCTACGAAAGAGGATTTACTAGGTCATCAAGAAAAATCGACATTGTTATTGTTGGTTATTTATGTTGGGACTCATCCCTGATTCGTTCCCGAATTCGGCAGATTTGGCATTCCATACCAGTACTGAAGACATCATGAATACACCATTTTATAGTTGAGTATTTTTGTTTTGGAAGAAAATAGGAAAGCCTACAAAATTCACATACTTTCTTGATCTGTATTTCATTCATTCTCAGAAACTAATTGATTGGATAACCTGTTTTGGAATAATCACGGCCAGCAATTCTTTCTTGTCTCATACAACGATATTGTTAACCTCCATTTGAATATCAAGCCAAACACATTGGGATATGAGGATGAATTGATAATCACTATCATTATTGTTGATAGGCTCACTAACCTTACATTTTTCACTTAATTTTCATATACCTGGCACTGGCACGGTATTTGCTATTAGGGCAGGCACCTGGTCCAAATGAATTTATCGATTCATTGATTCTATAGAATACACAAATGGGTTACTCTGTGGTTGTATTGATATCAAAACTACGATTCAAACATCCTTGAAAATTGAATAAACCTGATCTGTAAATGCAGGTAGAATAGAACAGAAAATGTAACAAAGTAAAGTCATCGTCCACCAATATTCTGATGTGAAGTATCTGAGGTCTTGCTCCTATCTACTGACCTATATCATTATAATGAAGGTATTATAATTATCTGTCAAGTAAGTCACATTGGCGGTTACTTCACATATTTATTTTTGTTAATTTTTTCGGTTGCAGAAAAAATAGCATGTTTCTCTCGGATCAAAAGTGGCTTTGTTTGACTCGCAAATTTTGCTTTCGCTCGGCTTCGCTAGACGCTCTGCACAATTCGCTTGCCAAACAAAGTGTCACTTTTGATCCTAAACAAACAATCTACTATTTTTTTCTAATGGGTACATTAACCTTGCGAAGCCGGGCCAGACAACTAGTTAAGAAATTGATCTAATGAAATGATTCTTCATGAGGCCTTGTGATGGGTGATCTACTCATTATTTTGTTGATTGTCCAGATCTTTTGTCTCAGCTCAATTTTCTTGTACCTCGTATGAACAACAGAAACGAATTATGTTTTCATCTAACAACGCCAAGAACATATATCCTAGCAAAATCCCCTACTTATATGACAAAATCGATCTCTATTCAACTAAAATTGGCTGTTTTAAAAGTAACTTAAGAAACCTCTACCACTAACTAAATACTCAAGGTAATAATAATTGATGTATTATCCTATATCTATTTACTTATATCTATTATGAACTGTGTTTATTCTGTATTTGCATGTCCTGTAATTGGGTGCCTCGCCTGTTTGGACAATAAACGGTTTTTTTTTTACTTTCACACAATTTATTGCTTTCCAGATTCTATTCTGTGTTGCCATCATCGGCTGCGCTGTAGCTACACCAGGCGGCTACGGAGACCAAGGACACCAAAGTGGTGGATACGGTGGACACCAGAGTGGGTATGGCGGACACCAAACTGGACACCAAGGCGGCGGACACCACAGTGCAGGATTTGGCGACCACCAAAAGGACGGACACGGACACCAGAGTGAAGGACATGGTGGACACCACCAAAATGGCGGATACGGTGGACACCAGAGCGGCGGTTACGGACACCAGGATGGTGAATTTGGACACCAGGATGGTGGATTTGGACACCAGAGTGGTGGATTTGGACACGGCAACCAAGGCGGGTTCAATGGCAAACACCAGGAAGGGCACCATCAGGGTGGTCATCATTACTGATAGTTGATAGTTGTAGTTTTTCCGAGTAAATATAGTTTTTTTATATAAGTCACTTTTTGTTTCGTTTCTGCACAGATAATCGGAATGGGGTTGTACGCGCTAGTCGAATTTATACAGGATGTCCCGAAATTACATAAAACGATTTCAACCATAGATTTTAAGAACAGAAATGGTAAAAAAAAGTTCACATAAACATCAAATGATGTTTTTTTTGCCGAAACCCTGTATGTTGAGTTAACGGAATTCTAAGATTTTCCGGAATTTTGATCAAGGTCGTGGGAGATAGGTGGGGCTTATAGCTAGGGAATATCTTTCTCCACATTTCTTTCTATTGGATTTTTGGCAGTTCAACCAAGAAATATGAAAATATCATCACTTTCACTTGAAAATGATACTCTTCTTCAGTTTCGAGATAGGTCGATTTCAAAAGTCTGCTGCTTAACTAGCAAAAATGGTGCTCCTTCCTTAGTTCCATATTTCATCAAAATTCAAAATTCGATAAAAAATTCCAATTTTTCAACATCTACTTGTGATGTTTGACTCAAAATGTGAAAGGGACACGGAAAATAATAATTTGAAAAGTATTATGGTAGGTGAAAAATCTTAGAAACTATCCATATTTCTCGAAGTAATCCAATTGATTTTTAGAATTTTTTGAATTTTCTGATAAAGTAAAAGTGTTTGTGATAATTCAGTACCTGAAAGTGAAAGTGTAAAATTTAGTACCTGTATAAGGTAGTCTGCGGACGCTAAAGTGCCAGTTTAATTCTGCAAAACCTATGTAGGATACTTTAAGACATGTATTCATCAAATCTTTGATGATTTATTTTCATATTCAACTTTACTTGTGAAACATAAACTGTTTTCATTGAATTAATATCAATCTAGTCCTATCACATATTTCTATATTTTGCCATCCTTGTTTTCTGTCTTGGAGGGAACTTAAGCCCCAACCCCCATGGTAGTACTGATAGGGAGAACTGATGTCCCAAGGGAGCACGGAAAAAAAGGATTTGTTGCATCAACAAATTATTTATGCTTGAATTATGTTTGTTGGACTAAGCAATTTTTTGTTAAATCAACCAGATACATGATTATTTCATGGAAGCAGATTGTTCAAATCAAGAATGTAGTCTAATTGAATCAACAGTATAATATCGATTCCATCAACAAAATATATGGTTTCATCAAAAACAATTTATGTTGATTCAACTATAAACATTTTGTTGATTTGATCAAGTGATGATCATTTTGATGTGAATATATATTTGAAACAACATACAAATTTTCTTATTCCGATGTAGCAATGAACTTATTTCGAACGGATCATTTGCTTGAATAGAGCAACGAAATATGTAATATCAATGAAATATTTTGTTCATTCTACATCAACTTGAATTTCCGCCTCTAGATGGCGATCATTTCGCCTCGTCTATGCCTGCCTCGAATTCATTATATACGTGAAGCCTGATTCTTCGTGGTTGAAATATCAGCTGGATGAATCGATCTTAGGATGATTAGCAATCCAAAATAGTTTTCCATCAGCTGAAGAGAAGTAAAGACTGAAGATCTATGCTAAAAGTCGACTTGTTTCCTAGTTTTGTTCATTCTATTGATGTGAAATTTCAGAAAATTCCCGAATATTGAATTTGGTTCAAGAAAACAATTTGTCGAATGGATATATAGTTCCTCTTGAATCAACAAAAACTTTCAATGAATCAACCAAGTATTTGATTGAATCAATATCTTTTATTTTATTTACTTGATTCAAACTCCAAATTCGCTCTGAAACAAGATATAGATTTACTCATTTCCAGATTATATTTTGTCGTGCATATATGACACTTTTATTCGCTCCATTCAATTAAATTTTGCTTGATTCAACAATTTCTATTTTTTCGTGAGGGTGGTACTGTCGTTAGGTGATTCAGAAAATTCAAAATTCATTAGTAAATCTGTTACACATAAATGGAGCAAGCAATAAAAATACATATTCTGAATACCAGCGTCACATCACATTAAAACAAAATTTATCTATATCGATTGAATATTTATGTTCGTCCAATAGGTGGGTATATCAGTGAATATTACTTTTTGTGAAAATACCTCCATGTCCCGCGGAGTCCAGTGTCTCCAGACATAGTTAGATATGTTCTGAGAAAATGCAAAGTTTCAAATTATTGGTGAGTACTTATTTTCGATTCAATTCAGAAGCTATCTAGCAATAATCTTGCTTATCACCAATATAATCAACTCCTCAGGAAGCTATGAAAACCCAATGGGCACATGTTCGTTGATTCAACGTTCATTTAACGTTTAGCGGGTAGAAATTACGTTACATTTCGATTTTTCAACGTCGTCAATGACGACGTTATACGATTACGTTCTAGTAGTTGAAAATACGTATTTTCCAACTTTGATTTAACCTTCGTTATACAACCAATTCCCAAAATTTTTTTCAACGAATAGGTGCCTATTAGGAAATATGTTGATTATCTGAGCTAGATATTTCATTTCAGAGGTAGGTATACATATTTTTTTCATTTCGTTCACATTGTCACAAGTCCATTCGAATTCGTCCCTCTGTAATCGTAGGGCCTTCATTGCCATTTGCCCCATGAGAACCAAAACTTTTCCAAATAATCAGGAAAGTACGAAATACTCTGATGGAACGAAGATATATTTATACCCAATTACATCTATTTTTTTTTTAAGGGTGTTCGTTCTACCCAGGTAGTTTCTGACATTTTATGAACTACTTACTAGTCAATAAAGATAATATATATTTCACACTATAAACAGTGTCAGATCCACCGGAAATTGTTTGTAATAATTGCATACATTTATGTCAAATGGCTCCTGCATTCTTCAAATTGGCACTACCATATGTTTAGGTGCTAATAGGGAGTTATCATTTATTCATCATTTTAGATTGATATAAAACACATGGTTACTACGTACTGTTGAGATTTAACTATTTTTTCACATGTCACAGTATTTATAGGACTCCGACAGACGTTCAGCGGCGAAATCTCGGCATAGTCTCTGCAGCGCCACCTGCATGCAGTGGCGCGAATTGACGGATGAGAAGTAGTGTGAATTTATAATATTTCAATCGTTTGATATTTGAAAAATGACTCTCGTCTCACTAGACTACTTAGTTAACCAATCTGTTTCATAAATCGTTCGAAATAATAATTCTAAACGGAAAAAACGGAAAATAACTGAGAGATAGGTATACGGAAATAAAATGTCACTGCGTTAACAAATTTTCCTATCAGAGAACCCAAAAGGAAAATTCAATCAATTGTCAGTGACACTTCGTCTAAAAAAATGTTTGAAAAAGATAAATATAAGATATATCGAAAAAGTACCAGATTTCCACTTATCTTGGGACGATTCAGGAACGAATCTCCTCCTGAATGATTTTTTCTAGAAACAGGAGAAGAAAATCCCAAAAAATCTGGATGAATGAATATACCACCTCTTCGATTAACCTAGACAGTATTTTACATAATATGTATAGACACAGTGTTCGGCTAAATTATCAAAATCTTTATAAGAGGTTCTTATATCATTGATAACAAATTTAAAATGATTGGGCATGATTAAAATTGACGAATATTAAATTAGTAGTCATGTTAATCACCTACCTATTGTTCTATCGAAGAAGATATTCCAATACTGAAAAAAAGGATCAATCATTGCCAAAGGTAAATACATTTCGTCATCACTAAATATTCAATTGAATTTCTGTTTTATAGCTATGTCAGTTCGCTAGATCCCAATCTGACTAATCAGATTATTAGTGAATTCATTTGTAGAATATTAATCTATCGTTAATATTCATTATTGTTCTGTATGAATCATACGGCAATGAAGCCATTTTAAGTTATACAGAACCTTGAATTTGAAATAACTACTCATCTATAGGATGATCATAATATTTCAACACACCGGCAACACTAAATTTGAACAGTATAATCAGATCCAATTGATCATCACGAATATAATCTTTCCTTTCTTTCTTTCTTTCTTTCTTTCTTTTTCTGTTTCTTTATTAATAAAACCAAGAAACATTATATATGTTTATACAGCGATATACTTATCCCATTAGCGCCGGAATTATTTTTTCCTTCCTTTTTGAAATGTTATGGCCATTAACTAGTGTGAAATGCTTTCGAAAAGCAAGAAAAGTTTGAAAAATCATAATTGGAATTCAGGTTTTCCAAAAATCTGCTGTTGCCATATGGCAACACTAGGCGCTTGTGATACATGTTTCGGAATATCAACACAAATACCTCTATCACATTTTGAACACAGTCTTTATCAAAATCCAGCTATTTTGCATGGCTACGTCTAATACCCAAGTGATTAGGGGCCAGTACGAATTCCTATATGCGGTAATAACTAATATTTTGATCCATCTGATCAGTTTCGCCCATATACAAGTAGTACCACTTGATTACTTTCGAAAACAACGCAAACCATCTGGTTTCTTCTGACAAGTGCTGAATAACTTCGTCGTTTCCCGCTCAGTCATCTAATTATTTGACCCATCACATATTGGAATGGAGTATTAGCAGAATTCCGAAGAGAAGATTCTCCGGCCAACATCCGTTGGCTCGGCCGGAGAGTCACCACATTCGCTGAGTATAAGCGCCTAGCGTTGCCAGATGGCAACACGAATATTTGATGCAAATTTTCTACACAACGAACATTCCTACAATTTCTTCAATATGTCACATATATAACTTGAAGCCTTGAATTATGAAAACAAAAACCGCAAAATCAAATGAATGAAAACAGGATTATACGTACACGAACGTGACGTGTTTTACGTCAGTTCAAATAAGCTCAAAGTTTAACAAATTCACGTGGCCGAAACAGCTTACTCAGAACAAAGAAATGGCTGCATGTGCTTGATCGGTTCTTTTGCGAATCATGTGGGCTGTCTCTCACCCCAATAGCTAAAAATTTGATTGCCAGGGAATTATTCGAATCTCCATCTGACTAGCGTTGCCATATGGCAACGAACGGCGCTGATGGGTAAAATAATAATAGCGTTTTCCTTGGACGGCTTGACTAATGAGACGAATCTAACCACATTAATAAGTATTAAGTAGTATTATTACACAAGGCCCAGCCGAGACTGGCTCAGTCTTGGTCTTGGTCTTGGAGTTGATAGTCTTGGTCTTGGATCAAAATGCGTCTAGAAATTTGAACTATTCAATTCCAACAGTTTATATGCATTACATTACATTTGCCATCAGATTTTTCCTAATATTGAGTAGATTTAGGTTCATTATTTCTTTTTTACTAGACCAAGTTCAAGACTCTGAATTAGAGTATCAGAGAAACAGTATTTAAAAAATTAGTCGACGTGTTTCTGCGTACATTCCAAGAATGGATTTCAAAACAAAAGTTTCTCGTCCACTGTGTAAATCACATTGTGAGTGATACTGCTCTATTCAAGATAGCTATTTCTGCTTCATTGCCATTCAAATATGTATATATGAATGCATTATGAATTTTTGGCATTCCCTTACTGATATGTGTCGATGTATATCATGAAATAGGCGATAACTATATAGAGTGCCATGATTAGCGTGCAATAATCTGACAGTGGTCAACTCCACCAAAACAAGGTGAATGAGATTGAAGAATATGTTACGAAAAATAAGCTTCAGCCTCTGAAAGGGGCTTACATGAAACTGGTCAATTATTGATATTTCCTAACTTCGAAAATGACTAGGAGAACTTTTTTCCGAACATTCCTTGGACAGAGTCTAATTATTTTATTCCTAGTTCGCCTTTATTTTGTCGACAATTTCTTTCGAAATATCACAGAAATGGGGAATTGTGAGATGTGTTCATAAATAAATTGGAAGTAAAGGAATACTCCAAATTGAACGCTTCACAAGAAGATAACATTTCCTTTTTAAATTTTAACTATCAACTCATAACCTCATTATACACAATTCATATGATTCTTAAAAGCTTGTCACGATGATGAATATTTAATTGAATCGATATTTCAGAAATAGAGAATTTTTACATAATTGAATTAGTACTAGTTTATTGAACCGAGTATCACATCGCTTAGTTTGAATTCTCAAAATTCCAATTTAATTAAATATTGATCATCGCAACAAGCGTCATATAAAATTTATATAATGAGGTTCTTAGTTGAAAGTTCGAATTTAAGAGGAACATAATCTTTTCTTCTCTTCAGAGCGTTTGAATGGAAGCTTCTTCTGTAGAGTTTTTTTTATTCATATTTTATAGGGCAGCACAAAAAACTTCAATAGTGAGCCATATTGGATTTAGTGTGATGTCACATTATTCCTAATCATTCTCGGCAAGCCCTTTCATTTGATACCCATACCTACGTATTGCAGAAGTCATATTGGATTTAGAATGACGACACAATGATTTTTAGAGTTATCCCTTTCGTTTGATATCCATATCGTAAAAGTGCATTAAAAATAACAATTCCGTCATCTTGGATAGTCCGCCATATTGGATTCAAAATGCCAAAACATCATATGTCGAGTTGCTTTCAACGAGCCCTTTCATTTGATATCCATATCGTAGAAGTGCATTAAAAATAACAATTCCGTCATCTTGGATAGTCCGCCATATTGGATTTAGACTGCCAAAACCTTATTTTTCGACTTGCTCTCAACGAGCCATTTCATTTGATACCCATATTGGAGAAGTGAATTAAAAATAACTATTCCGCCATATTGGACGGTCCGTCATATTGGATTCAGAATAACGTCACACACCTTATCATGTCTTCCAAACTAAACGTTCATGAAAAATTCCAGCTCAATCGGTTTGAGATATCTACCTCAAAATTGAGTTTAATGAATCCACCCGAACGAACATACTCATTTACATACATTGCAAGTTGAATACCTTTTAATGAAAAAATCTCCTTGTTCGCCTTCAAAAGATGCACAGTTTTGGAGTAAGTATATTAGTTGACTGAACATGAATTTTTTTCTCCTAGGGATAACAAGATCATTGTTGAAATATCTAACAGAAAACAACTACTTTTCCCGCAATAACACAGGATATTTCACAAAAAACTCATTCTTGACCAAGAGGGCGATATAAAACTGATTATAGATCTCATATATAAAAAATTGGCAATAAATCGCATATCCCACAATCAGATACTATAATATAAACAATTCACATTGTATATCATGATATTCATTATGTTCTGAGACTGAAATATAGAAATATTGAATCAATTATATTTTTCATTATTAGGCAAGGTTATTGAAATGTTATCTAACGTTAAAATTGATTTCAATCTATAGAACTAAGCATTACATCGGAGTCCATCAAGTTCAACAAAAGTAACTTTTTCAATTAACAATCTGATAAATCTCAACTCTCTGAGAGTACACAACACTGTTTAGCAGACTTCCGAATTCCATAAATTATAATGAAACACTACCTACAGGAGAGCCTCTTCAAGCTCAATTGAGAGTCGTTTTTCAGCACAAGTTAATTAGTATATTTTCTCATTTCTAGTTGTTGATTCTACAGTCCAATTATTGCACGCATTTGATAAAAAACTTTTGATTACTTAATAATTTGATTTTTCAGTTTATATTGTTGGCTGCTACTCTCATCGTAGATGTAACACCCCAATCAATCTTCGATCTACCAGACTTATTCGGTTCCAACAACTCTACTCTGGAGCAAACAATTCTGGATATATCTGATACATTCCTGAGGACTTTTGGTATTGATCCGTCACCATTCAATGAGCTACTGTCAACTTTCCTCGGAATACCCCTACCAGATAGCGATGAAGCCAATCCTGCTCCAGATGGCAGTCGAAACAGAACAATGAGAACAATGGATCAGAGTCAACTGTTCAATAATTTGATTGAACTAGCATCGGAACTAGCAAACGGCAGTTTGGTTTCGGATTTCAGACGGATAGAACCCATCTTAACAGGAATAGGATTCGATGGACTAACTCTTCAGAATGGAATATTCAGAGTGAATGTAAGCCGACTGGGGCTACTATCGAGAGAACTTGGATCAAGATTACCAAACAGCAGCATCAATATTGATCCTAGTCGACTTGGATGGAATCTCACCACAGACATGATCAATCTGAATCTTATAAACCAAGGTAACAATTTGATAAGGTTGGGATCAGAATTACGAAATGGCATTTTGAATCTGAATGCAAGTCTTCTAGAGACTTTCTTGAGAGAATCGACAGCCTACGTTCGAAATGGTAACATCAATCTGGATGCGCGTTCAATTGGACTGTTATTAAGAGAAGTAGGTACACAATTACCAAACGGTAGTCTGGATGTATATCCCAGCCAACTTGGTTATAACTCCACACAATATGGATGGAATGCACCTATCAACACGATAAATTTGAATCTCAGCCAAATCAGCAATAATTTGATAGGATTAGCTTCGCAACTGAGGAATGGTAGTTTGAATCTGAATAAGATCCAACTAGAACCAATTTGGAATTTCCGAAATGGCAGCTTGAATCTGAATGCTAGTCTGATAGGACGAGTTTATGAAGAATTAGGATCACAATTACAAGATAACAGTCTGACTTTTGATCAAAATCACCTTGGCTTGCATTTCGATGGATTCTACTGGAACCTCCCAACCAACTTGATTACTCTGAATTTGAGTAAACTTGGAGACAGTTGGTTGCAACTAGGCTCGCAATTACCACATGGCAGCTTGAGATTGAATGCGAGTGATCTAACTCAATTTTTGAATTTTCGAAATAATGGAGTGAATTTGAATGCAAGTCAAATAGGAACAGTTCTGAGAAGAATTGGATCTCAATTCCCAAACAGCATCCTGAATATCAGTTCTAGGCGACTTGAACTGAATACTGATGAACTTCCTATGATTTCAACCAATGATATAATCTATCTGAATATCAGTCAACTCGGTGACTATTGGATAGGGTTAGGCTCGCAATTACCACACGGCAGTTTGAATTTAAATGCGAGTGATCTGATCCCAATTTTGAATATTCGGAATAGAAGATTGAATTTGAATGCGAGTCAAATAGGGAGGGTTTTGGGAAGAATTGGATCTCAATTGCCGAACAGCAGTCTGGATATCAGTCCTAGGCAACTTGGATTGAAAACTGAGGAATTTCAATTGACTTCTCCAGATTATACGTATTCTCTGAATCTGAGTCATCTTGGAGACTATTGGATGCAACTAGGCTCGCAATTGCCAAATGACAGTTTGCATTTGAATGCAAGTGATCTCGTACCAATCTTGAATTTCCGGAATCACACCTTGAATTTGAATGTGACTCAAATAGGAACAATTTTAGGGAGAATCGGATCTCAATTACCGAACAGTATTCTAAATATCACTCCAAGACAACTAGGATTGGATATTAATGAACTCCCATTCTTCCCAGATGATATGATCACTCTGAATTTGACTCAACTTGCAGACTTCTGGAAGAATCTAGGCTCTCAATTACCACATGACAGTTTGAGATTGAATGCGAGTGATCTTATCCAAATCTTGAATCTTCGAAATCATAGTTTGAATTTGAATGCGAGTCAAATTGGCACAGTTTTCAGCAGAATTGGATCTCAATTACCAAACAGTAGTCTGAATATCAGTCCTAGGCAACTTGGATTGAATATGAATGAATCCTCATTTCTCCTGAATAATATGATTACTCTGAACCTGAGGCAACTTGGAAACTATTGGTTGGAACTAGGATCGCAAATACCTCATGGGAGTTTGAATTTGAATGTGAGTGATCTCATCCCAATCCTGAATCTCCGGAATAATAGCTTCAATTTGAATACCAGTCAAATAGGGATAGTTCTGAGAAGAATTGGATCTCAATTACCGAACAGTAGCCTGAATATCAGTCCTAGGCAACTTGGATTAAATACTGAAGATCCATCCATGACTTTGCCAAATGATAAAATCTCTCTGAATCTGAGTAGATTTGGTGACAATTGGATAGGACTAGGCTCACAATTGCCACATGGTAGTTTGAATTTGAATGCAAGTGATCTCATCCCATTCTTGAACCTTCAAAACGATAGCTTGAATTTGAATGCGAGTCAAATAGGAACAGTATTGAGAAGAATTGGATCCCAATTATCAAACAGCAGTCTCATCATCAATCCTAGACAACTCGGATTGGATGCTTATGCACTTTCTATAATTTCACCAAATCAAACGATCTCTCTGAATCTGAGTCAACTTGGTGACTATTGGACAGGACTAGGCTCGCAATTACCACATGGCAGTTTGAATTTGAATGCAAGTGACCTCATCCCAATCCTCAATCTTCGAAATGATAGCTTGAATTTGAATGCGAGTCAAATAGGAACAGTTTTGAGAAGAATCGGAACCCAATTACCAAACAGCAGTCTCAATATCGATCCTAGTCAACTCGGATTGAATGCTGATACACTTCCTTCAATTTCACCAAATCATACGATCTCGCTGAATCTGAGTCAACTTGGTGACTATTGGACAAGACTAGGCTCGCAATTACCACATGGCAGTTTGAATTTGAATGCAAGTGACCTCATCCCAATCCTGAATCTTCGGAATGATAGCTTGAATTTGAATGCGAGTCAAATTGGAACAGTTTTGAGAGGAATTGGATCCCAATTACCGAATAGCAGCCTCAATATCAATCCTAGGCAACTCGGATTGAATTCTGATGCACTTTCTATAATTTCACCAAATCATGTGATCTCTCTGAATCTAAGTCAACTTGGTGACTATTGGACAGGACTAGGCTCGCAATTACCACGTGGCAGTTTGAATTTTAATGCAAGTGACCTCATCCCAATCCTCAATCTCCGAAATGATAGCTTGAATTTGAATACGACTCAGATTGGAACAGTTTTGAGGAGAATTGGATCCCAATTACCGAGCAGCAGTCTCAATATCAATCCTAGGCAACTCGGATTGAATGCTGATGCACTTTCTATAATTTCACCAAATCATACGATCTCTCTGAATCTGAGTCAACTTGGTGACTTTTGGACAGGACTAGGCTCGCAATTACCACATGGCAGTTTGAATTTGAATAAAAGTGACCTCATCCCAATCCTCAATCTTCGGAATGATAGTTTGAATTTGAATGCGAGTCAAATAGGAACAGTTTTGAGAAGAATTGGATCCCAATTACCGAACAGCAGTCTCAATATCAATCCTAGGCAACTCGGGTTGAATGCTGATGCACTTCCTATAATTTCACCAAATCATACGATCTCTCTGAATCTGAGTCAACTTGGTGACTTTTGGACAGGACTAGGCTCGCAATTACCACATGGCAGTTTGAATCTGAATGCAAGTGACCTCATCCCAATCCTCAATCTTCGGAATGATAGTTTGAATTTGAATGCGAGTCAAATAGGAACAGTTTTGAGAAGAATTGGATCCCAATTACCGAACAGCAGTCTCAATATCAATCCTAGGCAACTCGGGTTGAATGCTGATGCACTTCCTATAATTTCACCAAATCATACGATCTCTCTGAATCTGAGTCAACTTGGTGACTTTTGGACAGGACTAGGCTCGCAATTACCACATGGCAGTTTGAATCTGAATGCAAGTGACCTCATCCCAATCCTCAATCTTCGGAATGATAGTTTGAATTTGAATGCGAGTCAAATAGGAACAGTTTTGAGAAGAATGGGATCCCAATTACCGAACTGCAGTCTCAATATCAATCCTAGGCAACTCGGATTGAATGCTGATGCACTTTCTATCATTCCACCAAATCATACGATCTCTCTGAATCTGAGTCAACTTGGTGACTTTTGGACAGGACTAGGCTCGCAATTACCACATGGCAGTTTGAATTTGAATGCAAGTGACCTCATCCCAATCCTCAATCTTCGGAATGATAGTTTGAATTTGAATGCGAGTCAAATAGGAACAGTTTTGAGGAGAATTGGATCCCAATTACCGAACAGCAGTCTCAATATCAATCCTAGGCAACTCGGATTGAATGCTGATGCACTCTCTATGATTTCACCAAATCATACGATCTCTCTGAATCTGAGTCAACTTGGTGACTTTTGGACAGGACTAGGTTCGCAATTACCACATGGCAGTTTGAATTTGAATGCAAGTGACCTCATCCCAATCCTCAATCTTCGGAATGATAGTTTGAATTTGAATGCGAGTCAAATAGGAACAGTTTTGAGAAGAATTGGATCCCAATTACCGAACAGCAGTCTCATTATCAATCCTAGGCAACTCGGATTGAATGCTGATGCACTTTCTATAATTTCACCAAATCATACGATCTATCTGAATCTGAGTCAACTCGGTGACTATTGGACAGGACTAGGCTCGCAATTACCACATGGCAGTTTAAATTTGAATGCAAGTGACCTCATCCCAATCCTCAATCTTCGGAATGATAGTTTGAATTTGAATGCGAGTCAAATAGGAACAGTTTTGAGAAGAATTGGATCCCAATTACCGAACAGCATTCTCATTATCAATCAAAGGCAACTCGGATTGAATGCTGATGCACTTTCTATAATTTCACCAAATCATACGATCTATCTGAATCTGAGTCAACTCGGTGACTATTGGACAGGACTAGGCTCACAATTACCACATGGCAGTTTGAATTTGAATGCAAGTGACCTCATCCCAATCCTCAATCTTCGGAATGATAGCTTGAATTTGAATGCGAGTCAAATAGGAACAGTTTTGAGAAGAATCGGAACCCAATTACCAAACAGCAGTCTCAATATCGATCCTAGTCAACTCGGATTGAATGCTGATACACTTCCTTTAATTTCACCAAATCATACGATCTCGCTGAATCTGAGTCAACTTGGTGACTATTGGACAGGACTAGGCTCGCAATTACCACATGGCAGTTTGAATTTGAATGCAAGTGACCTCATCCCAATCCTGAATCTTCAAAATGATAGCTTGAATTTGAATGCGAGTCAAATAGGAACAGTTTTGAGAGGAATTGGATCCCAATTACCGAATAGCAGCCTCAATATCAATCCTAGGCAACTCGGATTGAATTCTGATGCACTTTCTATAATTTCACCAAATCATGTGATCTCTCTGAATCTAAGTCAACTTGGTGACTATTGGACGGGACTAGGCTCGCAATTACCACATGGCAGTTTGAATTTGAATGCAAGTGACCTCATCCCAATCCTCAATCTTCGGAATGATAGTTTGAATTTGAATGCGAGTCAAATAGGAACAGTTTTGAGAAGAATCGGAACACAATTACCAAACAGCAGTCTCAATATCGATCCTAGTCAACTCGGATTGAATGCTGATACACTTTCTATAATTTCACCAAATCATACGATCTCTCTGAATCTGAGTCAACTTGGTGACTATTGGACAGGACTAGGCTCGCATTTACCACGTGGCAGTTTGAAATTTAATGCAAGTGACCTCATCCCAATCCTCAATCTTCGGAATGATAGTTTGAATTTGAATGCGAGTCAAATAGGAACAGTTTTGAGAAGAATTGGATCCCAATTACCGAACAGCAGTCTCATTATCAATCCTAGGCAACTCGGATTGAATGCTGATGCACTTTCTATAATTTCACCAAATCATACGATCTCTCTGAATCTAAGTCAACTTGGTGACTATTGGACGGGACTAGGCTCGCAATTACCACATGGCAGTTTGAATTTGAATGCAAGTGACCTCATCCCAATCCTCAATCTTCGGAATGATAGTTTGAATTTGAATGCGAGTCAAATAGGAACAGTTTTGAGAAGAATCGGAACACAATTACCAAACAGCAGTCTCAATATCGATCCTAGGCAACTCGGATTGAATGCTGATGCACTTTCTATAATTTCACCAAATCATACGATCTCTCTGAATCTGAGTCAACTTGGTGACTATTGGACAGGACTAGGCTCGCAATTACCACGTGGCAGTTTGAATTTTAATGCAAGTGACCTCATCCCAATCCTCAATCTCCGAAATGATAGCTTGAATTTGAATACGACTCAAATTGGAACAGTTTTGAGGAGACTTGGATCCCAATTACCGAGCAGCAGTCTCAATATCAATCCTAGGCAACTCGGATTGAATGCTGATGCACTTTCTATAATTTCACCAAATCATACGTTCTATCTGAATCTGAGTCAACTTGGTGACTATTGGACAGGACTAGGCTCGCAATTACCACATGGCAGTTTGAATTTGAATGCAAGTGACCTCATCCCAATCCTCAATCTTCGGAATGATAGTTTGAATTTGAATGCGAGTCAAATAGGAACAGTTTTGAGAAGAATTGGATCCCAATTACCGAACAGCAGTCCCAATATCAATCCTAGGCAACTCGGAGTGAATGCTGATGCACTTTCTATAATTTCACCAAATCATACGATCTCTCTGAATCTGAGTCAACTTGGTGACTTTTGGACAGGACTAGGCTCGCAATTACCACATGGCAGTTTGAATTTGAATGCAAGTGACCTCATCCCAATCCTCAATCTTCGGAATGATAGTTTAAATTTGAATGCGAGTCGAATAGGAACAGTTTTGAGAAGAATTGGATCCCAATTACCGAACAGCAGTCTCAATATCAATCCTAGGCAACTCGGATTGAATACTGATGCACTTTCTATAATTTCACCAAATAATACGATCTCTCTGAATCTGAGTCAACTTGGTGACTATTGGACAGGACTAGGCTCGCAATTACCACATGGCAGTTTGAATTTGAATGCAAGTGACCTCATCCCAATCCTCAATCTTCGGAATGATAGTTTGAATTTGAATGCGAGTCAAATAGGAACAGTTTTGAGAAGAATTGGATCCCAATTACCGAACTGCAGTCTCAATATCAATCCTAGGCAACTCGGATTGAATGCTGATGCACTCTCTATAATTTCACCAAATCATACGATCTCCCTGAATCTGAGTCAACTTGGTGACTTTTGGACAGGACTAGGCTCGCAATTACCACATGGCAGTTTGAATTTGAACGCAAGTGACCTCATCCCAATCCTCAATCTTCGGAATGATAGTTTGAATTTGAATGCGAGTCGAATAGGAACAGTTTTGAGAAGAATTGGATCCCAATTACCGAGCAGCAGTCTCAATATCAATCCTAGGCAACTCGGATTGAATGCTGATGCACTTTCTATGATTTCACCAAATCATACGATCTCTCTGAATCTGAGTCAACTTGGTGACTTTTGGACAGGACTAGGTTCGCAATTACCACATGGCAGTTTGAATTTGAATGCAAGTGACCTCATCCCAATCCTCAATCTCCGAAATGATAGCTTGAATTTGAATACGACTCAGATTGGAACAGTTTTGAGGAGAATTGGATCCCAATTACCGAGCAGCAGTCTCTATATCAATCCTAGGCAACTCGGATTGAATGCTGATGCACTTTCAATAATTTCACCAAATCATACGATCTATCTGAATCTGAGTCAACTTGGTGACTATTGGACAGGACTAGGCTCGCAATTACCACATGGCAGTTTGAATTTGAATGCAAGTGACCTCATCCCAATCCTCAATCTTCGGAATGATAGTTTGAATTTGAATGCGAGTCAAATAGGAACAGTTTTGAGAAGAATTGGATCCCAACTACCGAACAGCAGTCTCAATATCAATCCTTGGCAACTTGGATTGAATGCAGATGCACTTTCTATAATTTCACCAAATCATACGATCTCTCTGAATCTGAGCCAACTTAATGACTTTTGGACAGGACTAGGCTCGCAATTACCACATGGCAGTTTGAATTTGATTGCAAGTGACCTCATCCCAATCCTCAATCTTCGGAATGATAGTTTGAATTTGAATGCGAGTCGAATAGGAACAGTTTTGAGAAGAATTGGATCCCAATTACCGAACAGCAGTCTCAATATCAATCCTAGGCAACTCGGATTGAATACTGATGCACTTTCTATAATTTCACCAAATGATACGATCTCTCTGAATCTGAGTCAACTCGGTGACTATTGGACAGGACTAGGCTCGCAATTACCACATGGCAGTTTGAATTTGAATGCAAGTGACCTCATCCCAATCCTCAATCTTCGGAATGATAGTTTGAATTTGAATGCGAGTCAAATAGGAACAGTTTTGAGAAGAATTGGATCCCAATTACCGAACAGCAGTCTCAATATCAATCCTAGGCAACTCGGATTGAATGCTGATGCACTTTCTATAATTTCACCAAATCATACGATCTCTCTGAATCTGAGTCAACTTGGTGACTTTTGGACAGGACTAGGCTCGCAATTACCACATGGCAGTTTGAATTTGAATGCAAGTGACCTCATCCCAATCCTCAATCTTCGGAATGATAGTTTGAATTTGAATGCGAGTCAAATAGGAACAGTTTTGAGAAGAATTGGATCCCAATTACCGAACAGCAGTCTCAATATCAATCCTAGGCAACTCGGATTGAATGCTGATGCACTTTCTATGATTTCACCAAATCATACGATCTCTCTGAATCTGAGTCAACTTGGTGACTTTTGGACAGGACTAGGTTCGCAATTACCACATGGCAGTTTGAATTTGAATGCAAGTGACCTCATCCCAATCCTCAATCTCCGAAATGATAGCTTGAATCTGAATACGACTCAGATTGGAACAGTTTTGAGGAGAATTGGATCCCAATTACCGAGCAGCAGTCTCAATATCAATCCTAGGCAACTCGGATTGAATGCTGATGCACTTTCTATAATTTCACCAAATAATACGATCCCTCTGAATCTGAGTCAACTTGGTGACTATTGGACAGGACTAGGCTCGCAATTACCACATGGCAGTTTGAATTTGAATGCAAGTGACCTCATCCCGATCCTCAATCTTCGGAATGATAGTTTGAATTTGAATGCGAGTCAAATAGGAACAGTTTTGAGGAGAATTGGATCCCAATTACCTAATAGCAGTCTCAATATCAATCCTAGGCAACTCGGATTGAATGCTGATGCACTTTCTATAATTTCACCAAATAATACGTTCTATCTGAATCTGAGTCAACTTGGTGACTATTGGACAGGACTAGGCTCGCAATTACCACATGGCAGTTTGAATTTGAATGCAAGTGACCTCATCCCAATCCTCAATCTTCGGAATGATAGTTTGAATTTGAATGCGAGTCAAATAGGAACAGTTTTGAGAAGAATTGGATCCCAATTACCGAACAGCAGTCTCAATATCAATCCTAGGCAACTCGGATTGAATGCTGATGCACTTTCTATGATTTCACCAAATCATACGATCTATCTGAATCTGAGTCAACTTGGTGACTATTGGACAGGACTAGGCTCGCAATTACCACATGGCAGTTTGAATTTGAATGCAAGTGACCTCATCCCAATCCTCAATCTTCGGAATGATAGTTTGAATTTGAATGCGAGTCGAATAGGAACAGTTTTGAGAAGAATTGGATCCCAATTACCGAACAGCAGTCTCAATATCAATCCTAGGCAATTCGGATTGAATACTGATGCACTTTCTATAATTTCACGAAATAATACGATCTCTCTGAATCTGAGTCAACTTGGTGACTATTGGACAGGACTAGGCTCGCAATTACCACATGGCAGTTTGAATTTGAATGCAAGTGACCTCATCCCAATCGTCAATCTTCGGAATGATAGTTTGAATTTGAATGCGAGTCAAATAGGAACAGTTTTGAGAAGTATTGGATCTCAATTACCGAACAGCAGTCTCAATATCAATCCTAGGCAACTCGGATTGATTGCTGATGCACTTCCTATACTAACACCAAATAATACGATCTCTCTGAATCTGAGTCGATTTGGTGACGATTGGATGGAACTAGGCTCGCAATTACCACATGGCAGTTTGAATCAGAATGCAAGTGACCTCATCCCAATCCTCAATCTTCGGAATGAGAGTTTGAATTTGAATGTGAGTCAAATAGGAACAGTTTTGAGGAGAATTGGATCCCAATTACCTAACAGCAGTCTCAATATCAATCCTAGGCAACTCGGATTGAATGCTGATGCACTTTCAATAATTTCACCAAATAATACGATCCCTCTGAATCTGAGTCAACTTGGTGACTATTGGACAGGACTAGGCTCGCAATTACCACATGGCAGTGTGAATTTGAATGCAAGTGACCTCATCCCAATCCTCAATCTCCGAAATGATAGCTTGAATTTGAATACGACTCAGATTGGAACAGTTTTGAGGAGAATTGGATCCCAATTACCGAGCAGCAGTCTCAATATCAATCCTAGGCAACTCGGATTGAATGCTGATGCACTTTCTATAATTTCACCAAATAATACGATCCCTCTGAATCTGAGTCAACTTGGTGACTATTGGACAGGACTAGGCTCGCAATTACCACATGGCAGTTTGAATTTGAATGCAAGTGACCTCATCCCGATCCTCAATCTCCGGAATGATAGTTTGAATTTGAATGCGAGTCAAATAGGAACAGTTTTGAGGAGAATTGGATCCCAATTACCTAATAGCAGTCTCAATATCAATCCTAGGCAACTCGGATTGAATGCTGATGCACTTTCTATAATTTCACCAAATAATACGATCCCTCTGAATCTGAGTCAACTTGGTGACTATTGGACAGGACTAGGCTCGCAATTACCACATGGCAGTTTGAATTTGAATGCAAGTGACCTCATCCCGATCCTCAATCTTCGGAATGATAGTTTGAATTTGAATGCGAGTCAAATAGGAACAGTTTTGAGGAGAATTGGATCCCAATTACCTAATAGCAGTCTCAATATCAATCCTAGGCAACTCGGATTGAATGCTGATGCACTTTCTATAATTTCACCAAATAATACGATCCCTCTGAATCTGAGTCAACTTGGTGACTATTGGACAGGACTAGGCTCGCAATTACCACATGGCAGTTTGAATTTGAATGCAAGTGACCTCATCCCGATCCTCAATCTTCGGAATGATAGTTTGAATTTGAATGCGAGTCAAATAGGAACAGTTTTGAGAAGTATTGGATCTCAATTACCGAACAGCAGTCTCAATATCAATTCTAGGCAACTCGGATTGATTGCTGATGCACTTCCTATGCTAACACCAAATGATACGATCTCTCTGAATCTGAGTCGATTTGGTGACGATTGGATGGAACTAGGCTCGCAATTACCACATGGCAGTTTGAATTTGAATGCAAGTGACCTCATCCCGATCCTCAATCTTCGGAATGATAGTTTGAATTTGAATGCGAGTCAAATAGGAACAGTTTTGAGAAGTATTGGATCTCAATTACCGAAAAGCAGTCTCAATATCAATTCTAGGCAACTCGGATTGATTGCTGATGCACTTCCTATACTAACACCAAATAATACGATCTCTCTGAATCTGAGTCGATTTGGTGACGATTGGATGGAACTAGGCTCGCAATTACCACATGGCAGTTTGAATGTGAATGCGAGTGATCTTATCCCAACCTCAATTATTCGAAATACTAGCTCGAATCGAAATGTCAGTCAGATAGGAACAATTTTGAGAAGACTCGGATCTCAATTACCGAACAGCAGTCTGAATATCAGTCCTAGACAACTTGGGTTGAATATTACTGAACATCTTCTGAACTCGCTAAATAACACAATAAATGTGAATCTGAATCAACTCGGTAACTATCTGATAGAATATCAACAGGCACACCCAAATGGTAGTTGGAATCTGAATTCGAGTCAACTGGAAATATTCCTCAACGGACTACCCAATGGCACTATAAGCTTAGATATACCCGTATTGGAACATAATTCCACCAACAATACTGGAGATTCGCGAGACAATACAACAACAGAACATGTAACGCCAACTGTTATCCCAATCGCAGTAGAGAGTACTGTACCTTCAAGAACATATGAGACAACAACAATTCGTACTGTTCCTTCAAGAACACATGAGACAACAACAATTCCCTCCACTATACCTGTTATTCCAATCGTAGTAGAGAGTACTGCATCTTCAAGAACACATGAGACAACAACAATTCGTACTGTACCTCCAAGAACACATGAGACAACAACAATTCCCTCTACTATACCTGTTATTCCAATCGTAGTAGAGAGTACTGCATCTTCAAGAACACATGAGACAACAACAATTCGTACTGTACCTTCAAGAACACATGAGACAACAACAATTCCCTCCACTCTACCTGTTATTCCAATCGTAGTAGAGAGTACTGCATCTTCAAGAACACATGAGACAATAACAACAATTCGTACTGTGCCTTCAAGAACACATGAGACAACAACAATTCCCTCAACTCTACCTGTTATTCCAATCGTAGTAGATAGTACTGTACGTTCAAGAACACATGAGACAACAACAATTCTTCCCCATATCAATCGAGTTACACATTCAGAAAGACAAAGTCATGTAACGAATATGCACAACCATAATTCGTCAACTAGTAGTTTGGTAAGCATGAATTCGACAATTGCTAACGGGACCACTAGTGATATAAGAACGGAAGAATCAAATAGAAATTCTGCTACATCTGATGAACATAACAGTACAAATCATATAACGATAGTGGGCACTGACGAATCAGCATCCTGCCAGTCATTGTACAATATCACCCAAACAATTATTCATATTTTGTCTGACAGAAGCACCTATGAACACTCATCTGGCTTCGAGGCTGTGTGTGCTACATCGCAAAACCTTTCGAATGTCTTATCAGAATGTCTAGTCTCGAATCTGTACCTCTCGTCAGGCTATTATGACCCCTGCTACAGTTTATTGGACCTTATAGAATCTGTTTTGATGGATTTCCAGGAGTTGAATTCGAATATTTACGAATCCATGTCCTCCATTCTGCAAATCATCGCTCAAGTTATTTCGCAATCTCTGTTTCCAAGGAATATCCTCTTCAACTCTGAGCCTAACGATCCACCTACAGACGATTTGATGAGTTTAGCATCCCCACGTATTACAAGAGAAAGTAGTAGTAGCAGCAGTAGGGATCCAAATATGCGTCAGCGCAATGGACTTACAAGAAGGCAAGGAAGAGTTTTGCGAAATGCTGTAGCGACTCTGAGGCACTTGGAGAACAGATTGCATAATGGACGTCGACTTATCCAGAGTAGTACTTCGACTACAGAACTACCATCGAGATCTCACTTTTACCAAAGTCGAAGGGACAGGCAGTCTAGCAATCGAGAAGTGTCTGTTTCGAACGACGATGAAGTAGATTAGTAAGAGATAGACTTCCAGGGGTAATACTATGAGTGTTCGCAATACTATCGACAGTTTTTATGTAAAAAATCAACGAGTATCAATAGTTGCGTTCTATTTATCCGATTCCGCTCATATACGTATTAATAATCAATACGGATAATCTCTATCTGTTTCCATAGCGAAACATGAAGCCGATTTTTGAAGACAAATGACTATCCATAAGGAAAAGTGAGATACGATCAGACACATACTGCTTTGATTGAAAGGCTAGTAAACGTCATTGTCCACCGAAACGCATGTCTTTGATGACTACGTATCATGCCCATATACGTATTAATAATCAATACGGATAATCTCTATCTGTTTCCATAGCGAAACATGAAGCCGATTTTTGAAGACAAATGACTATCCATAAGGAAAAGTGAGATAACGATCAGACACATACTGCTTTGATTGAAAGGCTAGTAAACGTCATTGTCCACCGAAACGCATGTCTTTGATGACTACTATAATAGCGCATGGCGCATGCGTATCATGCCATCAAATTCTTATGGATATTCATTTGTTTCATATTTTTGGCTTCATCCTGGCACACCCGTTATGATCCGTATTGTTTATTAATACGTAAATGATCATGCCACCAAATCCTTATGGATATTCATTTGTTTCATATTTTTAGCTTCATCCTGGCACCCGTTATGGTCCGTATTGTTTATTAATACGTATATGATTCCGCTACCGGAATAACTTGATCTCAGAGGAGTTTCTTCTAAGACTTCGCGAGACCAAGATCAAGAACAAGACAAGACCAAGATTGGATCTTGTTCTCGCGAAGCCCGAGTTTCTTCAATCGATCAATGCTCTAAATATTCGTTGGTTCATTCGACCGATTTTTTCTAGATTCTTAACTATAGCATTATGATTTCGTAATTATTCGGAGCCCCAATAATATAAATATAACCTCCATCATCTTTAGAATGTCAATTCTCTCATGCAAAAATATTAAGTTTCTCGTTTTATTTGTAAACGTCATTTTGTTTTCACCACCGCTACCAGAATGGAACAAATAGAACACAACTAATAGCTTTTTAATACGTAGAGCCCGCAGAACTGTCAAAATTTTCAATATGTAGTATTGCCAGCACGAATTGTATCAAATGAGACAATTTCAAGACCTATGTGAAACTGTCATCTGTCTGTCATGTTATACTGAATGACAAGATGTTTTTTTATTTAGATTCATGGTTGCCGTGACGATCATCTCGAAAAGTAAAAGCAGTGTACTATCAAGGTACACAATTCAGATTGTTTCTCATATCGCAGAAGGCGACAGTCTCAAATACGTCGTAGAATTGTTTTGCAAAATGTATTAGTAATCTCCTGGGGATTGATGTTGTTCTCTATTCACAGTGCGACCATAAATTGTCTACCCCCCCCCCTACCGTCCACCCACTATCTTGGAAAATAAATAATTGCAGTCTGATGATCACGGACTCATCGTTTTTGTACTCAGTTTTCAGGAGTATTTACCATGTTCTATTCTTCCATCAACTGAACAACTGCTTGAAGATGATTCTTCGATTATCCTTTTCTGGTTGTTATCTTCCCTTACAATTATTTCATTATCATTCCACTTTGTCATAATCTATGACCATTCTTACTGAGGGTATTTCTTAGCAAATTATGGGAAATTATAAAAAGTCCACCTTGGACACTATATTATTGAAATTACATCATAGGGGAGATGGAGAATTTGTGCTTGGTGAGAAGTTGATAGGGCAGTTGGTCGGCAGCATGGTCGCACTGTGAATGTCTCATTCAACCTCTTTCTTCCCAAACTATCAAAGGTACTTTCGAGTTCATGTACACATTGTCTATAATTATGTTCTAGAATCTTAGAATGTTACCTCTATCATATACCAATAGCTATATTTTTTTATATTTTTATTGACGTACAGTGTGGAAAACTGTGATGGAATAAGATCCGTATCTCCATATTAGAAATATATTAAAACAAAAAAAACTCGGACAGGTCGACTTCTAGTTTTCAATATCTAGTTGCTTACATACAAATTCTCAAGCAACTGTCAACCTCCCATTCTATAGGTCCACTCCTTCTAAATTTTCAAATTCTACAAGGGGTCAAGCTACACAGGTATTCCAAATCTCTTAACAAACGACAGATTTCAAATTTATTGGATTTTTTTCAAAATTTCTGGTAGTAACAGGTACTCTCTGATCGTATTATTTACCTACATTCAAATCAAGTTTTTCATACTGAATGTCCGTCTACGCCTGTGTATAAAATGAAACCAATACCAGTACCTATACCATTACATTGTACAATAATTGTGTGTACAGATTCTCCAGAAATTAATAGTTTGACTGAAAATGCATTTATTCAGTACTTTTCGAAAGCACTGTATGTCTGTCTGGCTAGTGATAACACCACGAGAACAGTCTGGCCACTGAGGAAACATCTTCTAATTGTTATACCCAACTAATATGTATGAAATTCAGCTTTCATACTTCAAATTTATCAGGGTTTAAGGGTGTATGCCAAGGGGTAGGTACCATGGTAACGTGTTTGGCAATGAATGACGTGGTTTTTAATATTATCGCGAATGAAATATAGAAAAATTGACCTCCATATTATGACGAAAGTGAGTTGGTATTTTTAGCACATTTGCTCCCTGTAACCTCCCGAAGGCACCATGACCTAAACTTCATATTTGCCCATCGTTTTTTTCAGCTTTCATTAAATAATGAAGGTCTGGCGTTCATGGAATGTTGCTTTGCTACTTTTTAATGAAATATGGATCATAGACAGGATTGCACCATACAAACTTTGTACGACCTGTTCATGCACACCGTACAGGGTGGGACAAATTGGGCACTTTTAAAGGGAAAGTTTTATTCCCGTACAAGATAGAAAGTGAATTATGTCGGTGCCTGTTGATCAATTCACATAAAAAAACCATTAGAGTTACAAGGTGTTCTTTGGAAATGTGAATTTTTGAAAAGTGGATAAAACTTTTTTCTTCTCCAAAATTCTTTGTTTTCATGAAAACATTGTGTTTGATCCTCAGGCACTGATATCAGTCACCGTATATACCTAGTTGCTTTTCTTTCAAGTAGAACAAGTTATATTCTTCGAAAAGATATAGGGAGGCTGATTTCAGCGCCTCGAGAACATTTTTCATTACAAACTCAATGCTTCGCAGTAATTTTCATGAGAACAGAATATTTTTGCCAAAAAAATATCTGTAGTCATTTTTCAAGAATCCCATTTTCGAAAAACACCTTGTCACTCCGAAACGAAGACAGATATCAATATGCGGATTTCACATTGAGTTCTTCATGAAAATCGACCGTCAGGCGCCGACATCAGTTATATTCGATCTGGTTCGAGGATAGGACCTTCCCTTTAAAAGTATCCATTTTGGTCCACCCTGTATATATGCATACTGCGTAGACGGACATTCGGTGTGAAAAAACCCATTTCAAATCAACTTTACAAGCAATACAATAAGACAGTGACAACCAATACTGATGAACCAGATAAAAATTCCAATTTTTGAATCTTTCGACTAATCTTTTGCGGGTATGGCTAATCCGAATTATAAACAATAGACCTTTGTGTAGAGATTTGAAATACCTCTCTAACGAGGAGTAACTCGATCCCATGAACAATTCAAAAATTTCGGAGAAATTGATTTGTAGAATAGGAAGTTGACAGGTCGTTTTAAATGAGCAAATAGATTTTCGAAAATTAAAATCGGGGATTTTTAGAAATATATTCTTGGTATGAAGATACGGATTCTAGTCCATAGAAGGTTTCCAAACTATATATCTATTATTTCGAAAACCCATGAGTAAACAAGAATTCAATATCATCAAAGAAATTTCCTATATCATAACATTGTACAAATTTGTTCCATGATCAACACAATAAAATAAATATCATTCAACTGTGTTTTAATAGCAGGAGAAGAACATGAAAAATAATAATGGTATACATTACAAAATAACATGTCCCAATTGTTACCTTTCTATATGAGACTCTTGAATAGGGTCGTAGGGCATCTGACTCATTGATAGTTTGAGTGGCAAGGATATAGAATTTCTCCTTAACTATATCCTCATAAGGAAGATCAAAATTAAAGAAATGAAATCAAAAAGAAAAATTGGGCACCACGTATTCTATTGAGGGAGAATACGAAAACCTTCACACTCAAGTATCAATGTATAAATGTAGAAATGTAGAAGTAAAACACAAAATTTCAGCTCCAAGAATATGAGTATAATGATATTAATTTGTCAATTCTGAATTTACAAGAATTTTGCTACATAATAAGGTCGATGAAGTTCGTCTAATTATAAATCAAAGTTCTATGAGCAAACAAAAAAAATGTGTATAAGGATATTACTGAATTTATTATATTTTGAAGAAAATTAGGTGATAATTTGAATGGAGTGTCAATTTCTTCCAATGGCCACACAAAATACCTCTATCCAGAGCTGTACAATGGGTTCCTGTCCAACCTCATGCATCCTGATTAGCTGGGACTTCCTCGTTCGAATTCCCTAGAGCGTCGAGTATTGAAAGGGAAGGGCTGCTTGGTGAGGATATTATTTGGTCCTGAGTACTCGTAAGGGTAGGTTTACATAAGCAGGCTCTCTTCTACTCTTTATTCGAAAGGTGTTCCAGGAAAGCTAAAAGCAATATGCGAGGCGACAGAGAATGTTCCAGCAGGTGAAGTG